TCTGCTGGGGTAATAGTATATATTGTTACGCAAATAGAACTTTCTGTTGAGCGGGGACTTGAGGTATATATACACATGCTATCTATTATCTATTAATATTACACATTCTGAAAACGCGAGCACCATGGACATCGTTGTCGTATTTAACTCTTTCATTCCGGATTGCCCTTCATTGTCAGCAAGTCTGGAGTTATTCAGTCGTCAAACAAACCCAGTGCTCTGTCAGACTGTTAACTAAAACAGTGTCCTAAAAAGACCAGAGAGCCGTTTTGCAGAAGCCACCGTCACTGCTGCTACTGCTAACATTTTCTTTCGGTCAGCGGAGGAGAATCAAGTCACGACGCTCATCTCTGCAACAAACCCAAAGTTGCTGTCGTTGATGTTACAATGACTATATTGTTTCTAAAAGGACCAGGGGGTCAATTTGAGCCATAGTAAAAGTTATAATTCTCTTAGTGCTAATATCAAACTTGGATTTACTCTATCTCTCGTCGGGTATACATTGGGATGAGCGAGCGGGACACATTACACATTTTCAGTTGGTAGGACATTTTGAATTTTGCCCGGGTGGCGGCTGAAGCCTACTTTTATCGATTTTAGACCACCAAGGGATCTTTAACGTGCGCAACTTGAACACGGGCCCTCCGAGATTTTTCGCGCTTGTCCGAGAAGGCTAGGTGAAGATCTTCCCTACCAGAAGATCAGGGGTATGGCTGAAAGACAGCAGTAAGAAGGAGCCGAGGAGTAGCAGTAGAAAGGCTGGAGAAAGAGTCGGGAGCCCACAGGAGGGGGCAAAGGGGGTGAGGGGGTAGGGCAGAAAATGAGACGACAGCAGACGACAGAACACGGTTACAGAGCTAGAAAGGAGGTGAAAGGAGATAATACATGTTAGAGAGAAAAAGTTTTCAGTCGCTACCCGGATTCGAACCCGGGACCTTTGAATGAGAGGCCAACACCTTAACCTCTAGGCCACGAGAGCCCCCACCTGGTCATTATATGAAACAAATTCGTTTTAATTCGAAATGCAGCAAACTAGTTTCAATTTTCAAACTTTCTGAAATAACTCCTCTTAGATCGACAGTGGAACTAATGGATCGGCCGATCGGCCCGATCACCCGACTCGATCGCCTCAAAAACAAACGTGTTTGTTTTCAGTTTCAGGCGACCGAGTCGGACGATCGGCCCGATCCAGCCGTAGTGGACACCCCGTATAAAGCCAACCCTTTCGCGATACACGCCACGATAGAATGATAATTGGCCTACTTAGGCCTATGCGTTTTTCCCTTCTATCAATGACGTATGAAAAAGCAGCAAGCAAAAACCATGGCATGGCCGGCAATAATAATAGTAATATCGCTGAGGAAGGAATCAATCGGAACAGAATGCCATTGTTGGGTCCTATATACTATATTATTATTATTATCTAATTGTTGTTTTATTTCTTCTTTCCTGTACTAAACGACCGTCATGATGTTGATGCGTGTCTCTTAATTCAAACAAACAAAGACACTCTCGGACTTCATAACATAAATAGCTCTGTAATTACTGTAAACATAAATAATATGTCGGTTTGTTTTATTCACTGATCATTTTGTGAGTGCATAGGATGACATTAACACTACTCACGGATTTCCCAGATTGATCTACCAAATAATTTCGAATTCCTGCCTCGCTCGGAAACCTGCAAACAATTATAGCCAGCGATATGCAACTGCCTTTTATTGTTGGAGTATTGCCTCAGCAGGGGACTCGAACAGTGAGAAGCAATTCATGGGAGGGGGCTATATCTTCACGCTTCGATTTTCTTGTCATTATGGACTGAGCTGTCAATATCAAGGATTGTGATAGAAAACAAAGCTGTTGCATAAGGTTTTATGGCTTTACAATGTCATGACTTCATTACAACAGCTTGTAATCTACTATGATGGGTAAGCAGCAATGTGGTCTCCCAACCACCCCCTCCCCTTCTCTCTTTATCCCCGTTTCTCTCACCTCTCTTTCCCTTCTTCTGTTGCGCTCCCCCTTCTCTTTTTCTCCGCCTCTCTCCTCTCATTCCATATATGAATCTTCATCTTTCTCTCTCTTCACACCCCTCCTGTCTGTCTGTCTGTCTGTCTGTCTGTCTGTCTGTCTGTCTGTCTCTCTCTCTCTCTCTCTCTCTCTTTCTCTCTCTCCCCCCCCTCTCTCTCTTTCCCTCTCCCTCTCCCTCTCT